GAACCAGGACCACAACTAAGTGCACCGTAGTGTGTTGGAACTAGAAAAATGGATTGAGAAAGAAAAACTCAAACTCTAGACATACACTCCAGATATGAGGGAAGCTAAGAGATTTCTAAATCTCCCAAAAAGGAAGGGGATGGAACTCCTCTCTCTCAGCAGACAGAGATTTGAGGAGAATTTTAGGCATCTGTACTGGCCAGTGGCCACTGCTCTCTTAACTACCATCTAAAGCCAGGAACACACTTACCCGATGCTACGCCATGCGACGCTACCCGATGCTACCCGACGCCTTGCCACGTTTTGGTGGTGGGGTGTGCACATCTATCCGACGCAAGCACACGTCGCGTACAGTCCACAGCGTTTATCACAATAATCACTATCACAATCGCAACGCATCTTTTGTTCTTAATGCACTATTTTGAGCAAAACCTTGTAATAAATTGTTAGTTAAATTTTATGAGCACAACCATCTAATAAATTGTTTGTTAAACTTAATTGTTTTAAATAAAGTTACTCCTAACCATCATAATTAAACAATGTTTATAAAAACTTATGCATTTTTGATCTCGTTTAATTTGGTTTACATTGAAATAACATGTTTTGGGCCTGTACAGAAAACACCCGATCGGGTTCCTTCTTTTTTTTAGCCATCTTACCTGGCATTGTATCTGATGCTATCGTGAGTTCTTCTCGTTTACAGTTTGTTGAGACTTATGCGATGTTGTACAGAATGTTTCCGGAATCATATAGTCAGTCCCCATTTCTAAGAATGAGTGTCTGATTTTATTAATTATGGTTGTGTGGCCGAATTGTTTAGTTCCCATCCAATTTGATTGTTGTTGGAGCCTAAATTAGCTTTTCCTAGTTTCTTCTTGTATGAATGTTTCCAGCGGACGTAGGTTTAGCATAGTTTCTAAGGCACTTGATAGGGATTGATCTCATTTTCCCTGTGATACATAGGTTTGCTAATCTTTGTATGCTGTATCTATTATGTAATTTTTGTTGACCTTTTTTCTACCAGATTAATGATCCATAGGTTAGTTTGGTTCTTATTATTTCTGTCTATAGCCAATGAGCCATTTTCGGTTTTAATCCCCAAGATTTGCCAAGGCTTCTTATGGTCATTAGCGATATTTTAGTTTTTGGTATGATACAGGTAAGAGTTGAAGGTTGACTTTTTATCTATGATTATTCCTAGGCATTTAACCTCATTTTGAATTGCAGCATTTCATTATCGAAGCATAGGCCTTGTATTTTTATGTTTCTTTTCTTGATGAAAACAAGTTTTGAGGGGTTTGCTTTAAGTCCACGTTGTGAACACCATTGTTTCACCATGTTTAGTGCTCTTTGGTGAGTTTTTGTATTGTTGAATTTTCGCCGACTAGCATTGGGTATAGATTCCGCTTTCAGTTTGCGTATGAGGTCTTCTACTACCACATTCCACTACTCAGGCAAGAGTATTTTTCTTGCGGAAATCCTCTCACCACCAATGCTTCTGCCTTTTCGTGGAACATGGAGGCCTGCACTCTTCTGCTTTTTAGCATTGATTCTATCCATCTGCAGCAGGTTTTAACAGAGCCTCTCTATTTCGGTGATGTAACCATTGCTTCGAAAGGAGTGTTACCAAATGCTCCTTCAATTCCCAAGAATATTCCCAATGGTATTTCTTGGTGATTCAGTGAATCCTCTATTTGTATCGTTATTTGGTGTAGTGTTGATTCACTGGCTTTTCTTATCTGATATTTATGAAGGGGATTTTCTTTTAGAAAGCTGACCCCTTACATGTTTTTCCATTCCTCCTAGTAGAGGAGACTGTTTTAAATCAACCACTAAAAATTCAATTATGCCCTTAAATTATTAATTTCGCTCATTGCTTTAACTGTTGTCCCTACCATTGGTATACGTTCTCTCATGTATGTAAGCACACAAATATTTGTTTTAAGCAGCTCAACCTTTTCTATTTTGTTGATATAACTGGTTGGTAAAACACTCGGCAATGGCATCTTTATAAATTCCATCTTGCAACGATTGTTGACAACTACTACTTCTGTTCATGACTGGCATCTATTTTTGTGCTAAACCAATCTCCCTTATTGAAAATGCATCAGGAATCACACGAGGCACCCTCTCATTCAAATATTTATGACTTCCATTAAGCTGTGTATTTGACACTTGACTGATACATCCGCCTTATAGTTGGTTTGCACAACATTTATTTCATCACTTTTTTATCGGTAATGTCTAGCGAAGTGGTTTTACTTCTTACATTCATTACACTTCTTTCCTCAGCTGTTATTATGTATTGTTACAGCATTTGGTTATTTATTAACATTTATGTTGATAATAAATGCTCAAATCCCATTCCGTGTGGAAAAAGGCACATTATAAAATTTTGAATCCAAAACGGGGTGGGCCATCTTATTTCAAAAAGTATACACCCCACACGCTTCTTCCGTCGGGCATAACTCAGAAATGGTCGATTTTATCAAAATTTTCCCTACAGTAAAAGTGGGAAAATAAGCTTTAGAATCGAATTGTACAATGGAAATACAGGATTCTTATTTAAAATAACAAAGTTAGTTTCATTTCCCAGCTAGTTGAGAAGGTTACGCTAAATATGTTACCACCTCGCCTAGCCAAAATTAGCTTGGGGTTTATAAAAGGCCATTTTTTTCTTAAGTTAATCGTTTCCTAATTAAATGGGTGGAATATAGAAGTTATACTATATACTATATTATATACTATACCCTGTACATTCCTCACTAATATCAGCAATATCTGGCAGTAGTAGTCTTTTGTATTTTTCATACATTTCAATCAAATTACCTGCTCTGCCTTTTAATTCACTCCCCGATGCTAGTAAACGTTTATCGAAGATATGAATGTGCCGGCACGTGTCATTGCCGCACGGACATTCTTCTGTTTTACAAGTTCCTCCATGTTTGCTGAAGATGTCAATTTCATACCTGATACCATGCAATAGTTAACACATTATTAACAGTTTATCAGCAAGATAAGATACTCTGTAAATACATTTGTTTATTTAATCTCTTTATTTGGTACTCTTACATCCAGTCATCTAATACCTTGATTTAACCTCCTCTCCTCCCGCCACTTTCCCAAATTTCCCTTGATATATCCATACAATTAATTAGATTTCTTCAAATTTATTTGCACGTATTTAAACTTGGGCGAAGTGAGGCCCTAACCGCGCGTAACATCAATACAGTTCGGAGGGGGGGAAGCATTAGCGAATGCACGTGCAGCGATGGTTTGTATTGTGAAGTATTGTGAAACTATCACAGCAAAGAAAGATTGACAAATTGACAAAATGCACGGGAAATTGCAACTTTTTTTTTTAATCGTTTGACTTAACGATTCGAAATAAAAAATAATATTTAATAAAGAATGTTTTAGTACTTAGTTCAATAAAACCGACTGTTTTAAATAATCTGCAACTAGAATTAGATTACACTCAAGCTGGTACAATAGACCAATACTGGTCATAGCCGACTCCTTTAAACCTCAACCTTAACAAGCAGCTGTTTGTCCGATTTAATGGATGTACATGGCAATGTAAAAAACAAATTGCTTTACCGTATTTATTTAATTGACTTGTAGGTAGTCCTTTTTGTAATTATGTTGGCATCCTTGGGATTGTTGTAGGTTGATCATTTCTGATAATGCTGGTTCTAATTGAGTTTATGTCAGACCATTCTGTCCGCAACTAGACGACCAAGTGGTAGGGGCGTCGGTGCCGCAACGGTTTAGGTGTTGACACGGCGCTCATCACTGTAAGGTAAAGGTCCCGGGTTCGAATCCAGCGGCCCTGCATTCGAATCCGACATACTTACAAATGGGATTTTTTCAAAAACACTGTCACCCCGAGGGTTGATATAACCTCTGCTCTTGCGAACACTCGTTAAAAAAAAGGACCAAGTTCGAAGCCTGTCTATCGCAGGCCTCACAACAATATTTCACAATTTCACAAGAAAAAAAAAGAAAAAAAAATTCTGATCCATAAAGAACATTACTTCAGATTAAAGTTCAGTGAACACGCCAGCTTGTATATTTAAAAATATTTTTATGTTAGTTTTCAAGTTAGTTCAATTTACGTAAATATCAAATTATAATAAGACATGACAGTCCCGTTTTAAACTCCGTGGAATAGTCAGTCGGTTTATCGTGTAACAATAATTGACGAATGCTTAAAGTGTGTGTAGTTTCACAATTAATTAAGGTTTTTAGTTGAGATAAAAAAGTCAATGGCACGAGCGGGATTCGAACCCACAATCTTCGGCTTGATACGCCGCTGCTCTACCACTTGAGCCATCGTGACCTCGATCCACTCGGACACCAACTTCCCATATCAACCGCACCTTTTGAATTTTCCCTCCTTGAAAAATGGGAAAATTCAAAAGGTGCGGTTGAGATGGGAAGTTGGTGTCCGAGTGGATCGAGGTCACGATAGCTCAAGTGGTAGAGCAGCGGCGTATCGAGCCGAAGATCGTGGGTTCGAATCCCGCTCGTGCCATTGATTTTTTTATCTCAACTAAAAACCTTAATTAATTGCGATATATTAATTGGTCAAGCAGATCACGAAATTAGTGAATTTAATGTGCGTAGTTTGTTCGTTTCCAACGATGGTGGACAGGCCATACCTGGTTTGCAAGTTTTCACACCAGACTTAGACAAAAATCTTATACCAACATTGCCTAGATTGGAGAAAATTTTTGTTTTTATCGACCTTACGGACGAACAGTACATGCATTAATAAAAGTTAATCTATTTTTGGTCCGGAGCACTATTTATTGTGTCTTAACCCACCTCACCCCCCACTTTATGTCGGCACTAGGGGTGTTTTAAAGGGCTCTTTACCTCTCGCTCCATTATTGCCAAGGGGGATGATAAAAAAAGGTGCTTTGGGGGGGGGGTGGCGTCTGTTATTACATGTTTCGTTGCCCAAGCTGACTTCCGAATTTTTACCGACCACTTTGTTGCAGGACCATGGGCTCGTCGCCGGTAGGCTTGAAGACGCCTATAGGGCGGGCGAGGGGCATCTGGAACCTCTCGACCGACCAGGAATGGAAGACTCCAGAAACCGAACAAGAGTGTCTGGAGTATTATCAGGAGAAGATCGCCCACGGCCAACACAAACGACTTCTACCACTTCAAGAAGATCTCGCCGACTGGCTCAACAAAACCCTAAGTAAGTATTCAATATAAAGTCATAAGAGTGAAAATTAGTACTGTGCGTTACGTTAGACATTTCACTTCTATTAAGTCTTGAGTAATCTTCCAAGAATATTGTTGTGTACGCATGTATGAATTACCTTGTGTTGTAGTGTACTGTGCAATACAAATTGGTATGCGACTGGAAAAATATCGAGTGTTAAGTGATTACTAGCCTATTTTTGTCAATTATGATATTTTCAATTAATAGTTCTTTACCATATATGCTTAATGCAATGCACTGTAATGAGGAACAATCATCAACAACAATTAACAATTTCTTTATACAACAGAATGTTTAAATCAGTATTGTATTGATTGGAGCTTACGCACTTCTTCTATTTACTATTAATCTCTCTCTCAGATCTCTCCCTCCTTTCTCTCTCTTTTCTTTCTCACTCTCTCTTCTTTCTGTCTTCCTTTCTTTCTTTGTCACCGCCTCTATCGCTCCCTCGCCCCCGCTTTCTCGCTGTCACTTATTTCCTTTTTCTTTTCCTCTTCTCGTCCACTATTTTATATTTTCTGTATTTCTTTCTCATTCACTCTTTTTCCTTCTTTCAAACTCTATAACTCTTTCTTATACTCTCTCACAATGTAATTTAACTGTAAAGTTACTACCTCCTGATTTTTAACTCCCTTTGACTATTTCTCTCTCCCCCTCCCTCTTTGTTCTAAATATCAATATCGATTTTTTATTTAGTCCATTATTATCGCATGTTTCAAGATGGTGGGTGTGAATATAATTTAACTCCTTTTCAACGTAAAGAAAGTTTTGATGCAAGAAACTATAGTAATATCTGATATTTTTCACTCGGGGAAGCATGGAACGGCGTATCGTAGGAAGGAGTATTTTTTATCAGAGATGTAGTCGCAAATTGGTTCGCCGATAATTTTGTTATTCTTTGATTGGTCGACAGGAGGTTAAAGTGAAACAGGAAGTGTGGATTATTGTGACTATGTGCTTTTGTGTTGACCGAGGGGTTAAGAATTTGTGGATAATCTGGGACATTAATGATGAAGTATGTGTAATTATATATATTTTTCACTTAGTTTTTATCTTTCTTTATTCAGTTTTCTCTTTGTAGTATAGACCTATGCAAACATTTTAACCCCTTCAAAAAGACACGCCGGAGTTTAAAAGTATACTCAAACTTCCTAATATTTGTAGTCATTAATAAAAAAATTTTTTAGTTGATGCTAATTAGAACGATTATCTAACTGTGTTTGGTGTTTAACACTATCCCATTTCAGAATTAGTAGGGCCACGACCTTAAATTTCTTTTCTCATCTCACGATTTTAGTGGTCTCGAATTTTCCGGTTGAGAGGGCTTCATACACCCAAAAGTCGAAACCTCCTCTAACTCATCTGAGTGCACAATGACCTGTCATCCATCTTTAATTATGAGTTCTATTTCACAGTAGAGTTTTTTCATTGAGTTTGCTACGGAGCGGTGTTTAATCGAAACGCCTCTTCTTTTGTGTCCTATCAGAACGTGACCCGAAGAAAAGAAGCCTAGACATTAGTTACATACAGCGAGTACGGGTCTCGCTACGTTTCTATTCGATAAAAAGAAGGAACACCCAGGATAGTGATCCTTCCCATATTTCCAGCACAACTCATACTAGAGCTACAATAAGCGTCATTACAAAATTACCACAAGGTAACAATAAACAACAAGCGCATTAATGCTAGTAAAACTGTGAAGTGCATAGAAATAAGAGAGTGCTCTATTTAACGCAGCATGCAAAAACGAAATGCCTTTTCTCAAAATCAAGGCAGAACTCCGTAGTTGAGTGTGGCCTCGATGGTACAGCAATGGCTGCCATATATAAAAGTGTTTTTTATTGCGATAGCAGCATTCGGAGCTGCCGGCTGGTGTCCATTGCTAAACCCCAAAGGAATACAAAAATACACGAAAAAGCACAACGGATACCATTACCGCTTACGACAAATGGGTACCTCACAATATCGAATGACGCTCTACAAATGATCGCAAAAGTCCCACTGAACGATTTACACCTGAAAATGCTACTGGGCTAGAAATGTAAAATGAAAGGGTGGGGAATTGGAAGCTTAGAAATCGACCAGGAACGAGTAAGACGGTTAAACGACAGAAAGATGTTCCAGAACAGGATAAACGAACAGTAGCAGATGGGTTGGGTGACAAGTGAAAAACGTAGGGCGACTTTTAATTTTTACCAAGCATAGCAGCAAGGATGAAAGCCCCTTGGATTAAGCCCGACATTTGGAATTTCAAGGCGTACCTTAAAGTATTCCACATCTCGGACATGAAATGCGATGAAGTGGAAACCAGCATGGAGTATGTCCCGTTTGAGTGCGAAAACTTCAAGCAACAAAGAGAACCATTGCAGATAAAAAACCGTAAATGGCCCCCGCAGTGTAAAGAATTAACCGAAAACAGGGGAATTAATACGGGTTTTCCACGTCATCAGTGGGGATAGGTATGACAAAGCGGGTTGTTTCCCCATAATCTTTCAAAAAAACGCTTAATAGACTTTCTAAATTTTTCGAATTGTTATTGTTAAATTCTAAATTTTATAATTTAAAAATTGTTAATATATATAACCGTTCCTATTTATTTCACTAGTTTTCGTGGTCCATTGACCAATTAATATCTTTCAATTAATTAAGTTTTTTAGTTGAGATGAAGAAGTCAATGTCATGAGCGGGATTGGAACCCACGACCTTCGGCTAGATACGCCGCCAATCTACCACCTGAGACATCGTGACTTCGAACCACTCTAGCCGAAGGTCGTGGGTCAAGATTTTGTTTTGGTAAGTTTGAAGTAGGTAGTTTACAATTAAATTTTAATACTCGATAGATGGATCAGGAAAACCAAGCCCGACCGAAAACTGCTTGGTGTTTAGAAGTCTCTTTTGGGTTTGGAAAAAAGTCCAAAATAAGATAACGGTCCTGGGTTACTTAAAAAAGACGCCACTTAGTAAACTGTTAGAGTTTCCTAGACGATTGTAATCCCCTGTACTCGTTTTCTAATCAGAAAAGCTGTATTTTTACGCTGGGTGGGTAATCAACCAGCGATCATTTAATTGCCTAAGCGGCGATAAATGGGAAATGTATTGCGTGTTTTTTGCAACCGAAGCGGGGTGTCAAATTGTTTCGTTGGCCGGTGGATGTATCAAGGCTAAATGACAATTGTAAATAAATCTATAATTAATTATTCTTTTTGCCTAAGGTTTATTTTGGTTGAGATGAAAAATTAGTGTCACGAGCGGGATTCGATCCCTCGGCCTTCGGCTCAATAAACAGCTGCTCAAACCACTAATTGACACTAATTAGCTTGTCACGATAGCTCAAGTGGTTTGAGCAGTGGCGTATTGAGCTGAAGGCCCTGGGTTTGAATCCCGCTTGTGACCTAACTTTTCATCTCCCTCTCTCTCAAAAACAAAAAAAAAAAAAAACAACAAACAAGTAGATAAAAAGAATAATTAATCGGAGTAATTAATATAGTCAATTATGACCGCTAAGCAAATGTGGATTAATTTAAATCTACAATGTCGATGTTTCATCTTCAGCTGGAAAGATGGGGATGTTCAGTTTCGTACGATACGGGAAACTACTTGGGAGTAGAGCCACGATTGTCACGACGTCGAGATCGTACAGCGTTGATGCATTTTGGATACGTAAACCATTTCAAAAATAATTCAGAAAGATAAAAAAGAAAAGGTGTATCGCCCATTGTTCGGGAGGACTACACCGATTATCCTCTTATGAAAGGATTCATGACTGGCTGACATCGCCGACGAACGATTGTTCCTTTATTAAAAAAATTATCCTTATTTCCAAACCAGAACAATCTTTTTTTTTTGTAAAAAAGGTATCGTTTTCGCGGTATTTAACTAATAATAATAACACCTTAGGAGAAGGTGAATTCGTGATAATTATATATGTCTACGAACTATTATTCGCTGTTGCGGCATTTATACTATGCACAGTATGTGTTAAATGTGTTATCCTCTCGAAAAGACAGCTACTGATATACGTTTAAGATCTTTGATTGTTTTTAAAATAAGAAAGATTAAAAAAAAAACTAAAAAAAACGGGAGTTGTTGGATTGAATGTTATCTTGCTTTTGGATCATTCCTTTCAGATTCTTTTGAGATCACAACTATTCTAAGCTATTTACCCGTGGTAAATAAACCAATGTTTATTTGGTTACCTTAGTTAACACTATAACAAATTAGTTAAGTATTAAGTTAGTTAACTTAAGTGTTGCCAAAAGTGCATGGCACAGTGGCTAGTGGACCCCAATTTTTTTGTATTTTATGTACAATTTCTGGAGTGATCGGTATCCGAGATCTAGTAGAAATAGTGGAATACAGCAAAACTCAAACTCGAAAACTAACACCTCCACCGGTAGCTGAAAAAATAAAAACCAGTTAAAACACCTACTTTTTGTGGATGTTTTGGATTAATTTGGCCAAAGTGTCAATCTGAGACGAAATGTGATGAAGTGGTGAATTTTCTTTCAAACAATTTAACATTTTGTTTTTATAAATCATGAATTTCTGATCTCGTTTAATTGCTTTACATAATAATAATTATGTTGTAATTAATAAAACTATAAACATGCGTATATTTTCATTGAACACCAAAATACGAGCGTCAGGTTGTTTGCGTATATTATTAAGAACTCTTTAAACTATCCAATGTGGAACATTAACATGTATACATTTTAATTATGTTATTTTGTTTATGTATTACATGTAATAGTTAGTACCGAATTTGACACATCAAATAATTTGGTGTAATGATATAAAATATAATATGAGAATAAAAAATTTAAAGTTTTTTTCAGAACTTCAGTTGTATTTGTTGTGGTTTCACTTGTGAGATGCCTATTATTATTATTTTAAAAAAATATTGAAAAATTATTATTTCTATTTTTTTGCATTAGTACAAAATTTAATATTTCCTTTTGCTACAATACCAAAAA